ATCCTTCACAGTAGAAGCTGTACTAAAATAGCTTGTTAGTATGTGCAAGCACAGCTCTCCTGGTTGCAATACTATAGAAAAGAAATCGCTAGCAGTGGTTGGACCGAGATTAGCTGTTCAATTGACTCGATTCTTCCAGCACTAGTCTGACGAAATGAACGTGACCGACATGCCGGAACACGAGATGATTAATCATATTCAAAACGTAGTCTTTCCAATCCAGCCATGAACATTTGTTTTTGCCCATGTCAATATGGCTCAAGGACGGAGCATAAGAGCAATACGACAAAACTGGACGAATGTACCGAAGGCATAGGAAAACATGGCAAACTTAAAATAGGGTCTCTTATGGAGGAACCGTTGCCATTGTCAATGTGATTAGATAATGACTTTGTTTAGCAAGGCTATATTAATGCACTCTAATATACGTATGGAAAACTCTAAGGGGTGTCGAATTTTCGAAGTACCGATAACGGAACTAACCGTTTTGGTCAGCTCTAATGAATAAAGTCACATCACGGAAGCCAAGTTTATTATACTTTTATGATTAATAATAATCGGCCAATGAACGAGCCCGTGTGTTTATGGAAATTATGCTTGAATGTATTGCAATATAACGGAACCATTGCTCCAGGCCCGTACTTATCCAATTTAACCTGATATGTGCGCTCCAAAAGATCGAAGCCGCAGATTACTATTTCCAGAACATATACAATGGAAACTTTAATAACTGAGATATCCAGTTTGGTAAAATGCTTAGGGGTTAAAATCCGCAGTCCATACATAACGCGCGCTTCTCCTTTCTGCAATACCTTGACAGCAGGTTAAAATATAACATTACGGTGTTTGCAGCGGGCTTATTAAGTATTTTTCGCAGGATTGCAGTAAGTGGGATGTGTTTTCTTTCGTCTGCAATTCCTGCGAAATATAAGAGAAGTAGGATCTAGAGGAGGGTTACTAATATCTCTAGCAGCCTAAATTGTTAGGATACCCATATGCATAAGAATTTCTCGAGTAAAACCTCATGGAAATATTCTCGCTAGTTCCCTTAGACAATGATGAAATTTTGGGTTGTTTGTGTCGAAGGTAACATGCACCCATCGGCTGAGCTCAGGAGGGGTTATTCCAGAGCTATCTTTACAGTGGTTTTTCCATGACGACCCGATTGCTGACTAAAACAGGAGAGTTTGAGAGTACATGGATGGTTCAAACCGCCGGAAACCGATTCGTCCAAAAATAATGTGACGGAAATTTGCAACTTGCCCCTCCAACGGTCTTTTTCGCAACAACGGTTTGCCAGGAATTAAGGATGGAATGCCCGCCCGAAAATCCCGATAAATGCGTGCAAATACGCTAATGGAGTATCCGTTGTTATGCGCAGCCATCTGCGGAAACAGCCTCTAACCAGTCTATCCATGTACTATAAGGATTTTCGCTGAACTGGATGTGGATAATTAATGTATATAACAAGGAATTAAAAACTTTCATAAAGCACTCAGAAACACCCAGAAGCACTCAGAAGACGTATCAGGGGCGCTCTGGTGACCTTCCACAGTTGTCTACAAGGTTTATGCAACCAACTACTGCCCCATAAACTTATTATCGGTTCTTACAATGATCATGGAATATATTGTTTCTGATGCCCTAACGGCTATTTAGAAGGATTTAACAGCCTCGCACCGAAACGCCATGGGTTCCGACAAAAATGACCGTGCATTACCCATATATTCCAACACGATCCAGCTGTACTGAAGTGGTGGACTCTAACGCAGGAGTGGCTGCAGACTTTCCCGGTTTCTAAGAGCAGTTTTACCGGTTAGAGCATAACATGCCGCTCTTCAAAATTCTGCACTTTGACATTCTTAGCCTGTCTTACGGTTCAATAAAATTGTTCTTCTAAAGCGGCTCTTAAAAGTACGTGTGCGTTAAACATTGTCAGATCCAATCCGATTTGAAAGCGAAGTACCAGAGAGCTTGGTACTGGGAGGTCGATTATTTTTGATGCATACTAACGACAAGGCACGCATCATAAGCAGGAACTGTCTGCTATTCCCGATGACACCCAGGTGTGGAGAGAGAAAAATATACCAGATGATATCATAGTTCTTCAAGCTGATCTTTGCAGGGTATCCCCGTGCTCAGTCCAGAATCTTATTCGGTTTAATGTGAACAAATGTAGAGTGCCGCAAGTACCACACAAATTGATGTACTATTCATGCGCTAACTAGGAGCTTCAATCGTCTTCTGGCTTGAAAACCTAGGAATTATGCTCAACCTCGACTTGGATCTGCGTATCAACCTGCAACGCAAACAAGGAAATGCGTCCAACAAGTGGGCCTACTGAAGGGCTCGTTCAGATGATTCGAACCACGGATTTTCCACGATTTCTCTATTCATACATACGGCCAAAAATTGGAAAAAGCAAAACAAGTCTGGCAGCCATGGCTGAGGAGAGATCTCACGGCATTTGGATCTACCTTAATAACTTGCAACCTAAAAGGTTGAGGGTCTGTATCCTTTGCCCTATGAAAGTTTGCTACGACTGCTCGGGGTCTTCAGCGGAGAGTATCGGCGATTGCTCAGGGACCTCATTTTGATGTACCCAATTTTGAGAGATTCCAACTGCACGTGCCTTCTTGTGCTAGAGCTCAGTCACAACAGCAATTTGTGACGCTACCATCTCAAACAGCAAAGCAGAACGGTCTTTGGAATGCCGTCGTAATTTCTTTTCCTTACGCATTTGCCGTACGTGGCATGTCCTACGGGAATCTATCATAAGGGCTTCCTGGCTGGCGGAGTTCAAAGCCCGAGTTGACAGTGCACTTATTTCGTTGCACCGTTTTACATGACTCATTACTCATACATAAGCACAAGTGTTTGCAAGCGATTTCACTGGCGGTAAATCACAGATTTCGTTCCACGTTTATCACCTCCTCTACGTGTACAGAAGAAGGAGACATGATAGTTACCACTATTCCATTTGCCGACCTTGCTTATGGTTTTAGCTTGGATTTACTGCATATACTAGTTATAGATCAGTGATTGCACTGACGTAAACCCAATTTTGCTTATAATCTTTAAATGTTGCAGTTTTACCATAACCGATCTACGGGATCTGTTAAGCATTAGCTTCTTTACCCTTTTGAAACCATTGTTACATCAGGTGACCCAAGACAGCTGAATATCGCATGAATATCTGCTTACACTAAATGGGCCTGGAAACCACATACGACATAGGTCAACGCAGAAATCAAGTGTGGACGTCTCAGAAGGGGAACACTGTAACCGTAGGTTAGCAATTTGCTTTCATCCACTAATTCCTGTTTCTATGCTTCGCCTCCAACTTACTCACCCTTAGCCGATCATCCAGAATGATTTGCCAAGCTTCCGCTTTTTCCTCTCCGCCATATGCCATTGACCACAAACCAAACAACATCCACGAAAGACCACCAAGTAAACAATACGGGAAGTGAATAAGACGACCAAGATTTGTAATGTAAGTGGTTGCATTCGAAATGCAGTACAAAGAACGTTGGATGCAATTATTAGTTACCATTTGTGCTAATCCTCCAAACAGATGTGACTCATTAACTTTACTTCGAGCAATTGCGACAAATAAGTTTTGAATGACAGAAGAATAAACGAGTTTCTGTTCTTCATATGCGAGCGTCCAATAGTTATAGGCGTCCCATCAGAAGAGATTGTTTCAATCAGGATCCAACAAAGCATCACTTACTGACTTGGTATCAGTGACCTGCAGTGAGAATAGTACGAAAATGCATTGGAGCAAACAAAAGCAATCTGCATATTAGAGTAGAATGCACTGACTCACTGCTGCATAACTATCACTTAGCCACATGGTAACAATAACTATCGTCCTTGTTGAGAGGAGCAATCATCGACACCGCCAAACTTCATCAGCTGTTTTGCTTCATCAGCTGTGGACATGTTGTGGACTACTATTAAACACTTCTTAGATTAATCACCGACTAATTGCTGACAACTTTCTGCGCGAGTTGAAGTAATTTTGGCTAATGAGCCGAAACCGTGTAGGATATGTCACGATCTATTAATGAGGCTACAATCACAGAAACCTCGATATTCATGACCTAGGCGCTGCTATGATTTATGGAAACCAAGGTGTAATAGAAAAACTTACGGAGGATGCTGTTTTCGATACGTTGTACACACACTTGATTTTGGCGTTCCTTCTCCTGGGTTCGGACCTCTGCAGCAGGATCAATAATGGTGTTATGCGCATGGAATTCAAACGGACACATACACTATTCTTAAAATACACTGCTGTATGTATTGTAATCGTGTCGTTGGTTGGAATGATACCACATGTTTGCAGTGCTTTTCGAATAACTTTGTGGATTGTTCAATGCATGAAAGAAAAGAATTACCAAGCAATTCTCTCTTGCTATTTTGATGTATAGTCCCATCTTTAGGAAAGATTGTAAGATTGTAAGACGTGCTTTTTGTATTAAATTTCACGTAGTCTTGTGAAGGGTTAAACAGCCAAATTTTGGAAGAAAACGGTTGAGTGAATGAACCTTAACAGTAGACATGGTTTAGATTAACTGCATACCTTCAAATACCAGCTCGTCTTTCGGTTCTATGACCGGTATTCCGCGCACCCACGGAATGCACTTTAATCTCTGTGTCCGAATTTTAGATGGGTTGATGCATTCCAACTAGGAAGAGAAAGGTGTGGGTAATAAAATTCCAAGGAGCGCACGTACCAGTTGATGCACATCTTCATTTTTCTCGCTATCTGCTAGCATGCTATGAATCATTAGCTCGTGGTTTTTGTTTTCCGGAGGGTAAACACTGAATGACAATAAAAATACTACACGAGATGATCTCACATCATCAGCTTACCATCAACTTTACATCGTTGATGCCCACCGAGACTGCCATAACTAGGCTGAAAATAGTACAACTGAGGTTCACTGGACTCCAGCTTGTAGTACAGTTCAGAATTTCCTATATTTTTCAGTAACACAGTGGCAGTTGCGCCGCCTGTATCCCGAGGAACTGAAAAAAACATGTTATAAGATGATTACATCAAGGGAAGCACAGATGGTGTGTGGACAGGTGACATGATTTACGAACATCGTAGTAGGCAAAGTAGTCTTATAATAGAATACAAGTCGAACAGTGATGGATTTCAAGCCAAATGTCAGGGTGCTCGACGACAACTGTGAGGTAAATAACGGGATTACATACAGATGTCTGTAGACATGCGGAATGTGGTCGTCTACAAGATGGGTAAAATCGCTGTTACAACTGCTGTAGGGAATATTGAAGATCAATTGTAACGCTTCAGAAAGTATTACTTGAAAGAACCCGTTAATTCCAGTACACCTGCCAGGACCGAGAAACATTACCACCCAAGTACCGATGAAAAAGCTGCTTCTTTTGTTTGCTAACTTTTGGAAGCAAGCATCTCAGATGCACTGATGAAGTAAAGGGAAAACTACAGCATAATAGCCCCGGAGTAACATGACATCCAGCAATATCGCTTTTGTACTTCGAAAATCTCAATTGCAAGCAATAGTAGGACCAAAGAAGTTTATGGTGAAGCAGGAGGCGAAGTCATCTATCTGCACTTTCCATAAGCGTTGATCGCTTAGACAATTGATTTCTCTTTCATCAGCTTCGGAAGTATAACATTGGAGACAAAACAATACTTTGGATAAGCAAGATCCTGCACGAACATTGGTTGCAGTGGCGAGTAAGTGAATTTCATCCCGGCGCAATGGTAGTGAAGTTTCATGTATCCAAAACCTCGGAGCTAGGGCCCGCGATATTTTTGTTATTCATGAACGATTTATTGTGGGCAAAGTTTTCCGGTTCCATGCGAATAGCGGCCACCGTTCGGATATTTTAGCTCTCTTTATAAGCTCAATATGCTTTGGATCTCATGGCCCATTGGAATTATCTTCAGGAATTTAGATACCATGAAGTTCTATATGTGTCTATTACTTTTGCGGTAAAAGATACTTCTCTTTTAATACCTAGTATCGGTGATCTTGCTATCGCAATGATTTCAGCGCTTGGGCGCCTTCTTGGTTCTGGATTATTCACAATCCCGAAGTAATCACCATTTGGTAATTGGTCCTAGATGCAGCTCGCGCAAATGCCCTTACAACTATTGCTTACAACTATTGAAAAACGGACTTCGACCGTCTAGCCCGAGCCATGAGCCAATTGGATTGGTCTCTGTTACGAGTTGCATCTGTGGAAGACCGTTGTGCATATGTAAAAGAGGGATTGAAATGCTTGAAGTTCAAAGTTGTGCCGTTGAAATGTCGGAAGTTTGGACTGATTAGGTCACGTTGGTTTGGCAGGGAGTATAGAAATCTTAATCGGAGACGGCGCAGACTGTGGGACAAATTCCTCTACTCTGGCTCTGCCAATGCCTACGATGGGTAAAAAAGTCAGCGGAATCTCTACAACAGTGCAAAAAGGAATAAGTGCTACCATTGCGGAAAGCAGCTCGCGGTAGCCACGAAGACCGCCACAAACAAAATCTTTGCTTACGTGAAGCGACGTCGGAAGCTGGCAGGTGACCTGCTTTTGCTGAAAGGCCCCGACAGACAGCCCCTAAGATTTAGCACTGAGCGCTCGTCCGCGTTGAGGCGCACTCCGCTTATGTATATACAAATCACCGGGTGTCTGTTCCGCTTTTACCGAACTCCGCAGTCTAGACTGAGGCGATGAAAAAATATGTCAACCACACACTAGCCTTGACGGCCTTAAACCTTCCGGACCTGATGGACTTCACCTACTGATTCTCAAATCACTTTGACCATCATATATCTTGTCGGGACTGACATTTTCAGGAGGTCGTTGTCTGAGGGATCTTTGCCGATGGACTGGAAACGTTCGGTGATGAAGCCTATCCGAAAAGCGGCAACCCTAGCAAAGTAGATACATATTGGCCGACTTGACTGACAACTTTTTCAGCCAAGGATACTGAGATAATGGTGATAATGGGGCTACTGTATTTGCTACATTCAAAAGGGGTCCTAACGCTCACAGCACGGTTTTATGGTTTTAGACTGCCCGTTGGGTCGCAGTGATCACGCAGTCATCAGTTTCAACTTCGTCTGCTATGCAGAATATCGGAATGATAACGATGATACTGTGCGAACCATCACAAGGTACGACCGACTCGCCCAGCTAGTCAGCGACACAACGTGGTCTTTCCTCGAAAAAGAACCCCCGGAACTCGCCTGGCTCGAGTTCGTCGACAAATTCAGTCAGCTGATTGCACAGGCTTCAGAGATAAAAGCTTGCAATAAGTGCAAATCCGTTTCTTTCGTTAGGAGCAGAACCCGAAAATGGATGACAGTACGCAACGCAGCATGGCGAGTGTACAGAGTAGCTCCAGCACCAGAAACTTGGGATAACTACGTAGCCCAACGCAACCACTGCACTCAACTGTTAAGAGAAGACAAAGCCGCCTATCAGCAGAACATCGCAAAAACCTTCAGTGCTAACCACAAGCCGCTGTACAGGCACGTTAATAGTCTACGAAATGTGAGGCAAGGATTTCCTCCACTCAAGACGGCTGATGGCCCAACAAGAACGTCTATGGAAGCTGCAAACGCGCTGCAGATGCAATACGCCCCCACGTTTCAAAGGGTCTTGCCACCAAGCGATCTACCAAGCTTCGTATTCTGCTCACCAGGACTAACCCACATCAATTTTAACGCAGAAGCTGTATTGCAAAAGCTGACTTCTCTACGCAAACACAGCTCGCTTGGTGTCGACGCCATTCGTCCTGAGGCATTGGGAGCAGCAGCAAGCCAACTGGCAGGAACTTTAGCTCAGTTTTTCCAGCACTGCTTAGACCAGAACCAAGTTCCCGCCATGTGGAAGCTTGGAATAATAAGCCCGATTCACAAAGGTGGAAGCAGAACTGATCCTTTCAACTACCGCCCAGTAACCCTTCTTCCTATACTCTCCAAGGTCATGGAATCCATAGTTGCCGATGCGCTGGTGTGCTATCTGGAAAACTGCAACCTCATCACTCCTGAACAGCACGGTTTCCGTCGACAGCGGTCATGTACAACTAATTTACTAATTGCACGCAGTAGTTGGACCGAGGCAGCCGACGCTGGAGAAGGCGTTGATGTGATCTACTTGGTTTTTTCCAAGGCTTTCGATCGCCTGGACCATCGGATACTACTATCCAAGCTGCAGCATTACGGGATCGGCGACCCACTTTTAAGCTGGATCGCCAACTTTCTCTTTCAAAGGCAATTAGTGGTCAGAGTTCGGAGCTCTTTATCGGACCCCATACAAGTGGAGTGTGCTGTGCCGCAAGGCTCGGTTCTAGGTCCACGTTTGTTTTTGGTGTTCATTAATGACCTTGCACAGGGAATCGCTTCAAACTTCCTAATGTTTGCCGACGATATCAAGATCTGGCGCAGGATCCAGGCGAACGCCGACCAACATGTGCTTCAAAGTGACTTAGATACAGTGTATCAATGGTCGATCCAAAACTTATTGCATTTCAACGTCAGTAAATGCATGGTGCTTTCCATCCGACAGCACGGCAGCTACTCATACCGACTCGGAACGGATGTACTGCAACAATCAACTCTCGAACGTGACTTGGGTGTCCTGGTTCAAGATGACTTGGGTTGCTCCAGGCAATCCGAAAAGGCCTCGAAGACCGGGAACCAACACGTTGGGCTGTTGAGGCGGGCGTTTGGACAAATAAACAGCTCCATATTTCGACAAATGCTCAGTGCGTATGTTCGCCCCCATGTCGAATATGCAATTCAAGCCTGGCATCCATGGCTGAAACACGACCTTAATGCACTGGAGCAGCCACAATGCCGGGCATCTAAGAACGTCATTGGAATGCGCAATCGGTCCTACCAGGAGAGGCTGCGACGACTAGGATTGTTCAGTGGCAGCTATCGCAGGCTACGAGGCGACCTGATTATGACATACTTGCTTCTGCGAGACCCACATCATGTGTGCCGCCCTTTACTGCAACTCAGCAGCAATACAAACCTGAGGGGCCACTCATTAAAACTCGCAGAACAATACAGTCGTCTGGAGTGCCGCAGAAATTTCTTTTTCATCCGTGTCTGTCACCCGTGGAATGCTCTCCCAGAATCGGTCGTTTCCGCACCGACACTAACAATATTTAAAAGACGGTTGGACGATGCACTCATCCACTTACACTTTGTTGCTTAACACTATGTCTCCATCCTACAACTGGAGTTTACCCTGGAATTATTTGTTGTTAAATGTGGGTGTTGTGAATCTAAGTGGATCGCAGGACTGCAGCGAAGCAAACGATAAGTCCTTATTTTCGTATTTAAAGTAGTAACTATTTTACTATCCTCTTCATCATAATTGTTATGTGGATATCCCCACCAACTATCTAACGGGGCTTGTAAAGCAACGCTTCTTAACCAGTATAAATTCATTGTTCATTGTATGCAACGCCGCTCATGCATTACAAAATTGTTGTGAGGTGGCTTGAGTATTAGAAGTTAATATATTAGACGAAGTCTATTGAAATGATATTCATGGATTTAAATAAACCGTTAGACAATGTCAGCCATTAGGGCTTCCTTTCCAAACTCAGGTTGTACAGTGTCACTGTCGCACTGCACCGGTGGAGCCGCGACATTCTTTTTGGAGGAAAATGAATGGTAAATTTAGACCACCATCTAATTGATTGGTATCCCTTTACAATTGGCGGGCCTCAAGGCAGTGTGCTGGGGCCCACTCTGTTCCTGATGCACATCAATGATCAACCTCAGATTCTCGGGTCGCCGTGTGACTTATTTGAGGATGATATGAAGATTTCGAGAGAATGACGCTCCCGACGATTGTGACATGTTTCCGCAAGACCCTAACACTCTATCCATATTGTCTACCGAAGTTCGTCTCCAGGTCAACCCAGCCAAGTCTGCATTTATTAGCCTGGCAAAGGGTGCTGACGGCTGAGCCTACACGCCTGACGTCCAATCGCTATATCCCAAAATATCCGTAAACAAACTAGGTGTACTCGCGGGCTACGTTTTAAAGTCCGTGGATAACACAAAATGGCTATATCGTGGCGGATTGCGCTTGCTTTGGGCGCACAAACGTAGCTTCGGCACATTGTCTGAAGAGGTTGCCACAAGCCTGTTCTCTTTCCTCATTAGACAAATGCTAGAGTACCGTTCGCCCACCTACTTTTCGTTTACTCTAGGGAAGGCGCAAAAGATAAAATGGGTCTAACACGTTGCTACCAGGCTCATCCAGGTTATACGTGGCTTTGGGTTTGAAGACCAGTGCGAGAAACTAAGACTCTACCTCTTGTCCTACTGTCGGATGCGAGTCGACCTCATTATGACCTACCGTATTCTACATCTCGGTGACTTCCTCATGCTAAGACAAATGCTGCACTTACGAGGGCCTGGCAGCACACGCGGACACAGATCGAAGCTTGAAGTGCTGGATGTGCAGCGTGTTCCCCACGGACTCTGCTTAGATCGTAGAGTGGTAAATAGTTGGAAAAGTTTGCCAGAACATGTAATGGAGGCCACATGAGTGCGTCAGTTCTACACGTTGTTGGATTTATATTTAGCACCATTCGTTTCAGTGAACGATTTCACCTACACGATGGTATCTCAATCTGTTAGTCCTGTAATACCCTGAGGTAGATACCTAAAGGTTACATGTGAACGACAACGATATTCAAGGGAAACAATAGACCGAATAATTCAAGTTCCCGTTTGTAACTGTTTTCCAAACGCACTGAGAAAGTTAGGATTTCATTCGTTGCTAGACACAAGATACTTATTTACACGACAGGTGAAAGTAAATATCACTGAACACGTACCTTAGAAGCGACAATGTTGAATAGTTGGGTCCTCAGGACAGACTCCTGAAGAAATTTATTCTAGATCCGATTCGGATAGAGCAGTGCTCGTTAAACACGTACACACTAGCCCATTTGAGTGTAGTGTATGTTCTAAGACGAAACTCTGCACATTTATCCAGTTCTGTTGAATCAGCCATTTTCCGAATCCGTTTAATTATGAGTCCTTCCACCTCGCGGTATCTAATTCTCCGTCCTTCCCATCTCCTACTATCAATAAGCTTAGCGGAATACTTCAAAGGGATCGGATACTGCGGAGAAGAGGATGCCAAGAAAGCGCCATTCTAAATATGGACTTGTCATGTAGACCAGCATTAAACGGTTGATATTACCGTGAAACAATTCTTATCACTGAATGGTCCGCTGTGAGGGATCAAATTTCGATCTGACGAACGGTTTGCCTTGTGCTTACGTTTAGGCTCCATAGGTAATGTATGATCTATGCTCATTAGCGACAAGCATAGAGGAGAAAGATGAACGCAGCTGTATCACAAATGGCAATCCGTCATGGAATTCTACTCTTGACATTCATATCTCAGTGATGCAGGTCAACCGTTTCAAACATCCACCTCACTGGTTCTGCCACAGACGGAGTGGGAAGTTGTGCGCACTAGGGATGTGCCACGACAGGACAGATCGACAGTCTGGCTCATAATTTGATGTGCAGGTAGCTGTCTAACTTAGCTGTGAACGCGTTTGGGGCGGGTCCTTCAAATTTGTCCGTGATCTACCATTTTTTGTGGAACATAAAACGCATAACGTTTTGGCTTCATATTGACAATCCTTTTCACTACGTTTTGTCCGGCTATCATTATTCTCGTGTTGAACTATACTCCAGATAATTTGTTATCGTTACGTTTCATATTTCACACATGTAATTTTCAACCCAGCAACGTGACAAGAAATTATATACCTTGCGTGATTACAGCTTTCCAGAGCCTATATCATCCGTTTGAAAGCAATGAATGTTGCGGTCACTGAGATAGCCGAGCCACTGTCGCAGTTCTTCCAAGGATACTCAAATGAACATCAAAGCCAAATATGTGAATGCATAGGGTCATCACCGCAAAGTTTGTATGTGATGGCCGACCAGATCTTGCAAAGTATCGCACATTAACTCGCCTCCCTGTGCTCGTGAAGGTGTTGGAAGCAGTCGCGGTTGGGGCTGTTATGTACTGCCTGAAATGATGCAACGTCTGGTTACCGAAGCAGCATAACTTCCCTCAACACCGGACAGGTACCACCAATCTGCTGATTGCACGAGGTATTTGGATATAAGTGGTTGATGGCGGGGTCGGATTTCATACCATTTAACCGCACTTCTCTATAAGTGTGACCGCCTGGATCACCGCATCCTTTTTCTTAGGTTAATGTGCTACGGAATAGCAAAATCCTACCATTGCTTATATCGGACCCATCTTCAACAATCAAGGCTACAAAACCGTGTTAGGAGATCAATCTGTAAACATGTTGAAGTGGTAATATGTGTTCCACAGGACTCTGTATTAAGACCACCTATTATTGGTGTTTAGCAACAACCTGGCAAGAGTTATCACCTGCAAGGTCCTCCTTTTCGCAGATGACGTCAAGACATGGCAAGCGATTAATACCAAAGAAAGATCCCGAGCTACTCCAACACGATATTGATTACATTAATGAATGGCCAACGCGGAACCTACTACATGTGAGCACTACTTACCGCAAGGTGACCTATCTTCGTTACCAGTCAGTGAGTGTCTACAAGCCTGGAGACCATACCTTGAAGAACCCAGCTCAGGAGCCTGAACTTGTGATATTGATACACGACTATCTGCGATGTTTACGACAAGCAGATAAGGCGTCGCGAACCGGCAATTAGCACTTAGGTCTTATTTGCAGCTTGTTTTGGTAGCTTGACCACTCAATTGTCCCACAAATGCGTCATGCCTACGTGCTACTGCAGGTGGAATGCGCCAGCTAATTGTGGCGCCAATGGCGGAAACAGGATCTCGTTGCTCTGGAGACTGCTCAATAGAGGGAAACCAAGCATATCAGGGGACTGTTCCATCTGCCATGTCACAGATTGAAGTCCATGTGAATAATGTACAGCAGTCGATATTAGCTGTTCCTGCTGGACTTCATAATGTTTTACTCGATTCTGAACCACGCAAACCACATTTACCTCCCGCTGCTAAAACGGAACCAAAACACAAAACTAAGGGTTTAGCTTCTGAAACTGGCAATACAGTATAGCTAGCTTCAAAGTCATAGGAAATAATTTTCCATGCTAGTGTGCTAGCTTTGGAACGATCAGCAAATTTATGTCGTAACTGCTCAAAAGCTGAAGATTTGTACAAGGAACTTGACGAAGCGTCATAATATTGACGTTGTGCTTTATATTCTGTTAGCAAGGGGGCTACAAAACGTAATGTGAGTTCCAAAATCCAAACTAATCACTTTTTGTCCTTATACTTTCATCACACCAACATCTCAGTTTTTCTGCACATGACGCTGATGAGTCAACAAAACGCTTTTTACTACATCATAATCTTCTATCTTTACATAATTACCAACCCACGGGACTTGCTAAGCGTTTCCTTTTTGTCATAAAACATGCATGTTACGTTATTGTTATCGGATTGACTAAGATTCACAACAAAGCAAACCCAAATCCCAACTTAGGTGCACAGCACCTTCACTACGGAATAAATTGTTGCGCAGTTCGAAAATCTCAATTTGGGCTAGAATTCGTTTCTAGGTAAATATAAGTATGGAAGAAGCAAACTGAAGACGTTTTGGTGAGCGCTTGATTTTGGCCCTGCATCCTACTATGCCAAGGTTAGAAATGCTGATAGTGCTTATTATTCATCAAATGCAAGAGGGAGGAAGGTTAATTTGAACTCACTTTCAATAAAAAGCTCCTCCTCAGGTCTAACACTTAGCAGAGGGATGTTATCGGTCGACATTCTCTCAAGTCGATTAAGATGTGATAGTTTTCTTCACCCAAAGTACACCACAACACCTCAACTCAGCAGTAGTTAGACAGACGACCTGCATTACTGGGCGTGGCAAATGAAACCGCATGTACAATGCGATGAATTCAGTTATTGTGACTTGCGAACACACAAAAATCTGCTTTCACGCACAGATAAACTGAACCAATAGTAGCATTTGCTGGTCCAATGAATTGCTTCGGATTATGTGTGTGTCGCACTCAGGGTGGTTTCGCTTAGCACCGAGTCGAGCCCGAGCAAACTATCCCTCAACGGCTTTTGGATGCGGCCCAGTATACATCATGTACGGGCCTTCGAAAAACAGGTGAAAAAACCCAGGAGCTGTTTTTCAACATCTTAGAATGCCTATTTCCTCTCTGAGCTTTCCATCATCTGCAGTAATGATGAAAACTCAGTTTGAAGATCAAAAGTATGCTAAACTGGATACTAAGATGTGAAAAGAATTGTGGAAATATCAAAGAATGAAAGATGTGCATTAAGTTTTATGATGGAAACTCTTATGCTACTGCAACTGCGGTCCCTATATGAGTGAAACAAATCCCTCTTCAGTTGTTGTTTGGGGCTAAGCGCATCAGCTTGTCAACGGCCTATGGAAGACGTCGAACGGAAGTCCAGCAGGGGCAAAGTGGTTAAGGGACCACCTACCATAATCACAGGAGCACAGTGGTCGAAATTTGCATCAAATAGCTGACATTTGAATACACCAATGGAAGCAAATTCTCAATTCTGGTATACAGACAAATACGACCTACTAATTAGTATCGCTATCTCGAAGAGCAGTGTTGTCGCTTTAACGGACAAGACGGCTGTGCGTTGTCATATACCAACACTCAGGCATATAACTGTGCATGCTTGTGGGAAAATAGGAAGGGAAAGACGATGGTCAGCTGGCATGTGGCCGCCTTGCAATTGCTTCATTCTCCATTCCTCTCTGTTCTTAGTGGGAACATGCCAAGTAAACACATATTTTGAAACACCGCGTGAAGTGTATTCCATGGATGCAAAAGCAATTGTCTGTAGAACCGAACCAGGAATTGATGTTTGAAAGAACTCACAAGTTCTTAGTCCTTCTACTTTTAAGGTCTATTCCATTCACAGTTTTCGTCCAACATCTGCTAGGCAATTCCTTCGAAATGTTGGATATACTTAGATATAAATGCGGCATTCAGTGAAGTTTCAGTATTTTGGCCCAACGACACCATAGACCCAAGTACTAAATAGGTATTGATAGGTAATCATATCGTATCGTGAGGTGCAATAAAGTTTCTCATATTCGTTCGGAAATCAATGAATTCACGCGATGCCATTGCGAACGACGACTATGTCGTCATACGGATTACAGGATTTCCCTATCGCACAAATGGTTACTTGTAGGTTTTATCCGCCGAGCGTTTCCGGTATACCGCTGGAAGTAGTCCTATGTCTCGCAAAATGAAACCACAACAAAGTGTGTGTTCAACATTTCAAAAGTACCGTCTTTCCTAAGTGCTTCGTTTCCATTTTCCTTGGTGTCTAGTATACGGTGAAGTCACTAATCTGCATTGTTCAATGGTTGTAGACTCAATGAATGGATCGTGGTTAGGTCCCACTTGATTAAGTCACCTCAGTACATCTAGGTTGTATGGGCGCTAATACATGGTGGTTATCGCACGATGAGTCGAAGAATGCACAACATTAAGACCCCGGCTCATTTCGCGCTATATTTTGAAGGCGAATGGCCATATTGACGACATTTTTATTGCAAATGGATGATAGCGTTGACCAGCAAGAGGTTAGATATGATTGGCGCAACAGGGAGTCTGTAGACCCACCACTAACATGCATACTGTTATTGTATTATTTCAAGCAGAATTGTCCCGCAGCCCCTGCCCTTCCCCGTTTTCCAACTATTAGCAACCTACTGCAGGATGTCAATTTAATCCTCGTAGGCAAATCCCGTAACCGTTGGACGAAGGCGCGTCAAAATTAATGCAAGTTTATACCCTATGCATCCAACATCTACTAGACTCGATTTTTGCATATGGTGGTTGCAAACCACATACGGGTATAAGCCTGTTGCGAATCCCTGCCGCCAGTTGCATTATACCAGCTGTGCACTGTATTTCACCCGCGATCAAACACATTTTACACTGCCTTAGACTTATTCCCTTCGTAGTTTCGGGTGACTGCCATATCACATATATGTCATATCACATCACAGATGATGTTGCTACATACCGAAAAGAATGCGGAACAGCTGCTGAAAGCTTTCCATGACGCACGCGAGAATCTCCACTTCACCTGTGAGCAAGAATTTCCCTGTACCCACGGACACCGCAGATTATTGCTTTACCTTGCTGTATTCAATTTTGCTTTGGAAACACTGTGTTATACGCGTTTGATCTGTGTGAATTTTGAACCGATACTTTGCTTGCGGTCTATTTTTTCATCTATGCGAATTTGGTGGGTATTCTGTGAATATTGCCGGAGATCTCACTGATTGACCCCACTGCTGTCTGCGTCCGTCATCTTGGATTCGTTCTACAGCAATCGAACTAGTGTGTGCCAGACCACCAACTTGACCGACGGAGTTTGGATTCAGCATGCCAATACAGACGTTGCAACGAACGGCTTCCGCTGACCTGACAGTCCCAATGGCACGTACTGGTTGCCCACAAAAAGCTAAGCCCAAACCTTAGGAATTAAACGTTACTCGTAATGTAGACAACTGTGTAAAACTATGCGATTCGGAATGGAATGCAGGAATGGTCGAAAATACTTACATTTTCGATGTGCTCGCCTTACATTCAGCCAGATAAAATAGCTTAATAGTACAACTGATTAGCTCTCTGGTTCTGCACTGAGTGTACCTCTCTTCCACTAGTCAGATATAAAACTGTGTTAGCGCAGAACTTCCATAAGCTGACAAAGATTGTAGAGCAGGCATCAGCCATGAAAGCGATTCGAAATGAACCAGACAAATCAGTGCCTCGAACTCGATGCTCAACATCAAGCTCCAATACGACACAGTGTAAAAGTAACGATCCAGCGTTAGCCACTCCGACACTGGCGTCTGCCCATAAACGTGTGTTCAACACACATTTTTCGACAGAACCACCCGCTAATCTAAACACTGTTAGAGTGCTGACAACCTACGAGTCACTTGTTGCTACTCATGTGAAGGAGGCACCTCACATTGCAACACCGCTCGCTGTCAAACAAGTTACTACTGCCAATACCACCACCGGACTCAAGACCCCATCATTATTCCAGTCAAAGAAAGTAGCTATTTTTCCCTCCAAAAAGGGGAACGTGAAACACTACCGTAATCCTCTAACTATTATATGCCATAATGTGACTGAATCTGGGGCGAACACCATAAAATACAATACTAGACGACAAAATACATTGACTCCCTGTGCCAATTAATAGGGGTTAAATCTAAACCAGTCAGTATGGTGCGCCTCGTTCGTCACACAAACTCTGAACACTACAGTAAGCCGAGGTTGCTTCAAGTAACACTTCAGTGAGGCAATGGCGCAGAGACCTTTCTCTTGTCAGCCACTCGCCTCCGTATCACCAAATGCACAGTTCGAATATTTGCAGATGTTCCTTGGAGCGAACGCCAAAAATACAAACAATTTCCGGATGCATTCCGTAAACAAAAAGATGCAACATCTGTCCTTGTTCACGGTGTCCCCGACCTCCAGTCACTAAGCGAGCTAGAGGTCAAAGCGCATGAATGCGATGAATGGCGGTTTATTCTTGAAGTACTCTCACTCGAAGAAGTTATCTCAAATTCGACATCAATGTTACCGCTATCACGTAACTGCAAAGAGTGTGGCCCCCGAGTGATGAAAGTATCACTGCACTCCGAACTGATGGCAGAACATGCGATCAAAATGTAGACAAAAAGCGTAAAATGCTACCATCCGAAATACATATAAAGACAATAGGCACCCGGCCATAGATAGACAATGTAACACTGAGCAAACAACTTACCAATACATTTCTGTCACCGTGTAGTTCAGAACGGAAACAATACCGCTACACATGGACAGCTGAAGAAGAGCAGGACGCTAAATCACTTGTTGGCGCTGGGAGCTCTTTACAACAGCCTGAACTGGCCTTGTGGTCTGCGTCATCTGTACTACAAAAAACCACCGGCAGCCGATCCCGCAAGGGTCAGCACAAACTCTCCCCGAAAATGAGCATCCACAAGCACTGTTCTGACCACCGGTGCCCTCACCTGCTTGTATACCAATGCACAAGGTCTTCTCCGCAAGCTGACTGCACTTCCTATTCTTCAAGTCTCCACGCATTGGGACCTAGTTAGGCTCAGCAAAACATGGATGAAAACCTAGATCACAGATGCTGAGATTGCACTACCCAACATGACTTCCATCCGAACCGATGGACCTAGCAGAGCAGGGTAAGTGCTCCTGTTTTATACATCCGACCTGCAGCATAATGTCATTGCCGACGCAGAAACGAACTGCCTCGATTCTCTTTGGTGTCGTATACACCTAAGAGGTGGTGATGAGTGTTTACTAGCAATAGTTTACGGCCATCCAATCTCCACCTTTGAAATGTATAAATGCCTAGCTTCTGCGATGAAACGAGCCCTCGCACGAATATACAATCCCATTCTTCTGGTGGGGAATTCAACGTGCACGCAATCGAAGTTCTAGCATCGCACATAGAACAATTCAAGGCGGATTGGCAAGAGCTTATCGCCAATGTGCTTGTGCACAACCGTTTCTTCTCTCTTACGCAATTCCGAACGATTGACACCCACACTTTTGGACCTTGTGCTCTGCAACGAGGAACTAATGATCGACACCGTGCGCATAGATGCACCATTTGGCGGAAGCAATCACATGATGTTGCTCTTTCGTTACATCCGTTACTCGGAGCATTTCCTTGAGAACAACTTGGAAACCCAGGTCGTTACTCATTACGATACACTATCCAAGCTCGTTTAAGAAACCGACTGATTCTTCCTGACCGAGAATACGCCCGATGTCGCCTGGACGTTGTTCGTCACCAAATTCACTGAGCTA